CTGTCAAATTATGCCTGCGGCTTTGGGCGAGAAGGGTTGCCCAGGCATATCGCACCCAGCGCAGGTGATGGATGTATTTTGGGGACGGTGCGTGTCGGTTTGTTTCTTGATGCTCCTAAGCCGTTAAGCTTTCATGCAAACCCGAATCTCGAAACCCAAAGGACATGTGCCTCCATGCCTCAAAGCCAAACATCTTCGACACCCGCGCTCGTCGCAATTCCACAAAAGCCGAAGCTCGCCATAAACCCTAGACCCTAAACCAGCCGACCGAATTTCGGGGTTTCGTGTTTTAGGGCCGCCTAATAGACAGGCAGATTCATTCACCCCTTGACCCCAAACCCGATATATCCTAAGCCATACACCGCAGGAGCAGCCGGACCGGTGGAGAAGGACTGGGGGCTTAGGGTTATATATATATATATTATCTTATATAGTCCGAAAAAAGTCCCCATATACCTAAGTAGCCCCTAAATAACCCCTAAATAAACTCTAAGATCCCTCATAAGAATGGGTCCCTCCTTTAGTCCCTTGTTCCTGCTGGCCCCGGAGCTGCAAGGGATTGTGAGTTTTGCAAGGAGGGCTTGAGGTCTGCAGGGGCTTTTACATCGTGGTTCCATGGAGAACCCTAAACCCTTTCTCACAGGCTTGTCCCAGCGCGCCTGGTCGAGCTCGTCGCTGTCGTGGCAACACGCGGCAACACAAACCCTAAACCCTAAACCCTAAACCCAGTCCGGGTGTTCCTTTGACCAGACCCAAGAGAACCCAGAAACAAAAAGGGCGCCTTTTTTGGTTTTTAGGGGCTCAAAAGGGAGTCTAATGTTGACCTCGTAATAATAAACCCCCCCCCCCCCCTTCAATCAAACCCCCCCAAATAGAGTAGGGCCCCTTTGAATAAGGATTCCTTTCCTTAGAGCCCCCCTTCAATCAAACTCCCCCAAAAAAAACCAGCCCCGACTTGGCGTACTTTATTCCCAGGGCTTGATTATTGCGGCCGGGACCCCTGGCGCACTTTAATATCAGGGGGTTCAATAATGCGAGGTTAACATTAGACACCAAAAAAAGGAGTGTAAGGGCCTGATCTAGCTGAGTATTCAAGGTGTTCAAGCATGAAACCCTGTCAAGACAACTGAGATGTCCAGAGTTAACCCTCGACCCACAACACCCAATTACTTGCACACGTGCGTGCCTCGCCATATTTACACTGCTTGACACCCCTCTCAAAGGGGCCTTGATTTGGAATCGGAACAACCCGGAAGTCTCCAACCAGGTGCCCACCCCCCCTCCTCCCTCTCTAACCCTAAAAACCCTAAACCCGGTTATATAGGGGAGTAGAAATAGGGGTCCCTTCCAGGGGTCAACCATTAAGGGGAAACAGCACAGGATCCGCAAGCACCGTGGCCGTGGCATGCTGCCTGGGATCAGCCGCGGCCCCGATCCTTCAAAGCAAAGTCGGGGCTTCTTATCGCTGTTTTGGCGACCCTTTTTCAAAAGGTGTTGTTTTACTATGATTTGGGATGTTCCGCTTTATGCTAACAGTCCTCTTTTTAGAGATTATAGTACCCCCTTTGACAATCCCTATTAAGGACTGCTAGTAGACGGGTTAAAGGGCAGGGGGCGTGTCCGCCCACTTCTAGGAAGCAGTCTTTTGGGGCGGAGCAACTTTAGAGCAGGGCTCGTTAGAAGCGATGTTTGGGGTCCGGGGGGGGAGGGGGAGGGGGAGGCTGGACTACAAACCTTGAAGCTGCGAGTGCGCAAAGCTGGATGTTCTTGAACCCTAATGTGCCTATGTTTGGGCGTGCGGGAGTCCTGCCAGCGCTAAGCGCTAAGATGACAGACCTTCGAACCGAATCCTTGCCTGCCTTGTGAACCCTAACCGCTTAGAAGCAGAGACCTTCACAATGCCAGGTCATCGCTTCATGCATCGGCTCCTTGATGTGCGAGAAGATCATGAAGGCCGCTCGGTTCAGGGTTTGGGGGGGTTTTGTCTAAGTCAGGGTTTGGGGTTTATAGGGTTCCCTGACAGATGTGTTACAGTGTTGGGAACACCGAGCCGTACGAATCATACTTCCATCAAGTCAAGCGGAAGTCAATGCTTAGCGGCCCTGAGCCCCACATGCCCTCTATGGGGATGCATGCTGGGGAGCACAGCAGCAGCAGGCTCGACCGTACCCGTTCTACACGCAGAAGGCCAGGCGTTTCATCATGAGCGTCCCCCACCACCCCCCTTCCCTTTCAAGCAAGACCTGAAGCTGCGCGCCCTGTAGCAGGCCGGTCATCAGCCGCATGTAATCGAACTCTTTGAGCAAATCGTAGGCTTAATTCGTTCAGGTACCTAAGCTCTCGCCCCTTCCCCCCACGGTTTAGGAATTTAGAGAAGAACCCCTAAACCCTAAACCGCGGTAAACCAGACCGTAGCCAGATAGTTCCCTGCAGAGTGGCTAGGCGGGTAACCCTAAACCCTAAACCCTAGACCCTAGACCCTAGACCCTAGACCCTAAACCCTAAACCCTAAACCTTAACTGGAGCTCTTAGGGGCCCAACCTTATATATGCGCCAGCATACGCGCACCCCCCCCCCCCTCCCCCCGCCATGGTATTCCCACCCCCCCCCCCGTGGTTCATGGGGGGTTTTGGGGTCCCTCCCCCCCCCCCCCCCCCCCCCCCCCCCTGTGGTTCATGGACCGTGGTTCATGGGTTTGTGGTTTAGGGGTTTAGGGTTTGGCTGTAGAGAGTTCAGGGTTTTCACTCTGGTCTGTGGGTTTAGAGTTTAATCAGGGTTCAAGGTTCGGGGTAATGGTAGGTTTACGGTTTCCCCTCTCCCGTTTAGGCTGAGGTTTCTCTGTCCTCCCCCGTGGTCCGTGGTGTTTTTAGGGTTAACAGGCAGGGTTTGGGGGGGGATGCCGTGGGGGGGGGGGGGTCGATTACGCGCAACGCGGGCGCATATAGGGGTTACTCTATAAGGGTCAGAAAAAGGGGGTTAGGGAAGCAGATTAAGGGCCCCTTCTCGATTCCCTTAAGCAAGACAAGACCCAAACCCTAAACCTAAACCCTAAACCCTAAACCCTAAACCCTCTAAAAGGGTATAATAGAGACCCCTTGACCCCTTGTAAGAGGTGCACCTCGAGTTCGGTGGCCTGGCGACCGCCTCGGCAATGCTTTTTGTGGCCGCCGCCTCAAGGGTGTTCTTCGGGGGAGCTGAGACCTCACAAGAGCCTTAGGGTTTAGGGTTTAGGGTTTAGGGTTTAGGGTTTAGGGTCTTGGGAAGTCTAGGGTCTATAGGCTCTAGGCGGTCTAGGGTTTAGGGTTATAGGGTTGAGGGTTACAGGGTTACAGGGTTACAGGGTTTAGGGTTTAGGGTTTAGGGTTGAGGATGATTCCGTGCTTGAACAAGGTTTAGGGATCTTAGGGCGATGTGTCGAGCTCCAGGGCACTTGGAGCTTCCTGGGTCGAGATGAGAAGTAAGGGTTTAGGGTTAGGGTTTAGGGTTTAGGGTTTAGGGTTTAGGGTTTAGGGTTTAGGGTTTAGGGTTTAGGGTTTAGGGTTTAGGGTTTAGGGTTATTAAGAACAGCAAGGAATGTCATAAGTAGAGGTACCCTACGTAGAACCCTACTTATAGGGTGAGCGGGCGATCAGGAAAGTCTCTTGGGGTTGGAACAGGGTCAGTACTAATTAAACATCATAGACCGAATTGCCGGGATACCAAGGGAGGTACAACCAATATCGCACTCAGAGTGCAAACGCAAGACTACGGATTGACTGATTGATTGATTGATTGATTGATTGATTGATTGATTGATTGATTGATTCAACCCTAAATACCCTAAATACCCAAAACGCCCAAAGCCGCGGTCCCTTTTCGGGAATCCTACTTGGAGGTTCACGGGTGGTTCTAAGTAGGGTTACAAGCATGGTAGTTATGCTAGCCTAAACCCTACACTTGGGAACCTTGCCTCCCCCTATAAAACCGAAGGACACTAAACCCTTTCAAGAATTCTCGCCCGCATTTCGCCAGCGTGAGAGTCGAAACTCTTCAAAGAAACCCTAAACCCTAAACCCTAAACCCGAAACTTCCCTTAGATGCAAGCCGAGGTGGGTGCACTGAGCTCCCGGCCAGAGGACTCCGTGTTCGGGTTTAGGGTTTAGGGTTTAGGGTTTAGGGTTTAGGGTTTAGGGTTTAGGGTTTAGGGTTTAGGGTTTAGGGTTTAGGGTTTAGGGTTTTGGGTGTATGTTTCAGGGTCTGGGGAGTCCCGGAGATCTTGCAAGTTTCAGAGATGGCTTTAGGGGGTTTTGATCAAGAAGGCGCCTGAGAGAGGGAGAGAGAGAGAGATGTAGAAAAACGGGTCGATGGTTCGTAGGGCTTTCCGGGCTTTAATTTTTGGCGGCTTAGGGCTTCGGAAAGTAGAATGCATTTAGTTGTTAGTGTTGTTGTTTGTGCTTTGTCGTGTCTAGCGGCCCACGGGTTTAGGGGTGGGGGTGTAACCCTAAACCCTAAACCCTAAACCCTAAACCCTAAGAGCAAGGGCTGCTAGGGAGTTGGATCTTGTGGAAGATAGCGGACGTTTGGGCGAGGGAGGATCGGCACGTGCCACCATCAGCCTCTACCTGGTTTCAGCCAACAGCTCTCAATGTTCAAACGTCTGAAGTGGTGACCCCTGACAAAGAGCTCCCTCCTGGCCCACAATTGCACCCTGTGCCCTTCTGAAGAGGATGCATTTTGGAAGGCCCGAGACGTCGATGGCCAACAGGAGGAGCAGCTGTTTTGATTGTTTGTGTGAGCATGGAAGAGTTTTACGCCGTAACTAAACTTTGGCAACTGTTGGCTTGCATGCTAAGGTAAACCCGCAAGCCGAGATTTCACATCCTGCATTGCGCTGCGCAGGAAGATTGCTCTAGATCAGAAGCCCTTCGGCTCAAGCCGGATTGGTTCCGACTTGCAACAATCTGGCAAGAACACAAGCAACCTTCCGCAGCACTGAGAGCAATGTGCCAGAAAGTTGTTGCATGGATGAGATCCAGATAGCCCTGTCTCCACAACAGCCAGCAGTGAGCCGTACTAAGTACGAGGGCATGGCAGCCATGCCAGAAACGTCAGGCTCCCCTTTGGACTACTCAAAGTGGAAGAGGATCGCGCTAGAGGAGGCTGCGGAAGAAGAGGACGAGGTCCAGCGCTATGAGCGCGACGTGGCGAAGGAGCCCATCGTCACCATGGACGACGTGTACGCGAAGGAGGCGGGTCGCCTGCGGCAAGTAGACCGGCTCCATGAGCTGAAGATCAAGATGGCCGTGGAGGCCTATGAGAAGCTTGGGAGCTCAGTGGTCCCCTGTCTTTCTTTTTTTGTTTTTTTTTTTTTTGTTGGGGGGGGGGGGTTCTGAGTTTCCTCAAGTAAAGTAGCCGGCCCCACAGAAAGGGGTATCCTTGTCATGAGATGCTTGCTGGGCGACCACTTGGAGGTTCATGGGTTTAGCTAGAAGTAGTGTGATACGTAACGTACCTTAAGCAAGGATTATATAAGAAAACTCCCCCATGAACCTCCAAGCAAGGAAAAGAAGGCCCGCCGACACGGTCATGCACCACTACTGGGTGAAGGAAGCTGGTGATCCTGAAGCCATTGGCGAGTACTTTCCCACGGGTGACGAGCGCAATGGTGCGCCCCTGTACCAAAACCAAGCCGGCTTGGTCCTGAGTCGGGAAGTCCACGGATCCGAGGAGATGTATCTTAGGGCTGGGTAGTTATCCTTGAGCCTTTTTCGTTATATATAATCCTATTGCAAATATATAATCCTATTGCAAATAAACGGTTAACCTTGATGGGCTAGGAACCCCCCTAAACCCTAAACCCTAAACCCTAGGGTATTCGGCCCCTAAGGTATAGCTGGGTCATCGGCAGCTTACCTGACCGACGCCCCCTCTACGGAGTAAAGAGTGATGATCTCTCCGCGCCGACCTTGGGTTGGAAGGCTTTTACCGCTCCAGAACCTGCTCCTTAGGGATTCTTGGGAACATTTTTTAAAATTTGGGGTACTGTAGTTCCTATGAAACAGCTGGGGTTCTGGGGAAGATGTTTTTAAATTTGGGGTAAGGGAATTCCTAAGAAGCTGCTAAATAATGTGTGCCAGGGTTCCAAGTTCAGCATAGGCTCCTGTGATCCGGTACTACTCGAAGGTCGCAGCAGCTCGGACTTTCAAGGAGCGCGGCAATCGTGCCTTCGGCCAACGCAAGTGGCAGGATGCGGAGTCATGGTACTCCCAGGCGTCTCGGTAGCCCAGTGGTACCCTTTTCCCTTTGTTTTGGTTCAAGGTTCCCTTACAAAGTAACCAAGTAACCAAGCAAAAAAAGGGCAGCCTTATTGTAGCATGGTTGCTGGGGGTACCCAGGCATTGAAGTGTGGCATGGACCAAAGGGAGCATGCGGAGCCTTACGCACTTCTTCTGTCAAACCGCTCAGAGACGCGGATGCGATTGCAGGACTTTCGTGGTGCAGCTGACGACGCAGATGAGGCTCTCAGGCACATCCGAGCCTTCGCCGTGGCTACAGGGGACGCCGAAACTTTGTCATAGTTGGGTACCATTTTACATGTTTAAGGGTACTTAGACCCTGTAAGGAATGTTTTTTAAAGAAACTATCCCAACCATGAACTAGGAAAGCCTGCGACAGCTTCATCAGAAAACCGTGCTACGCCTTGGCCGTGCCTTGCATGCCATGAACCGAATGTCGGAGGCAATGCGGCTGTTGCACCACGAGCGCCGCAACTACCCCCATTGCCAGGAGATGCAACGAATGGCTGAAGCAACTCGCCTCGCGTTGCGGTCTGTAGGGCGCGGGACTCCATCTCAGTCCCGAGGGGAGAGACAGGAGGCTGGCATGGACAGCGCGCACGGCCGAAAACTGATGGAGTTCGTCGCGAATGTTTCCGAGGACCTACAGAAGGAGTTCTTAGCCTTGAAGACTGCGGAAGCAGAGGGCAGCTTTGCGCTGCCTCTGTCACTCATGGCCCTCCTCAGCAAGCTGGAGTACACCCTCACCAAAGCCCAGGAAGTCGAAAGTGAAGTCATGGAATCTCTGCAGGCGCTGCTTCAGATCCTCGATAGGCCTTTTCGGACATTTTCTCTATTTTCCCGTATTGGGTTGAAGAGGATCATATTCAGGAATATGTTTCAGAGGCGTTTCTACGAGCCGTCCTAGGATCAATGGAGTGTTGCGATTCTTGATCGGCGTCATCCAGGCGCAATGGCGCGTGAACCTGGAAGGCAAGTTCGTGGACCTCTTCAAACTCCCAGGTGGGGGTTTCCGAACATAGGAGTACCGTTTTTGGGGGGTTAATTACCTTAAAAGGATTGTTTTTGGGGGTTAATTACTTTAAAAGGATTGTATTTTGGGGGTTAATTACTTTAAAAGGATTGTATAGTACTTTGGGGTATATAAGGGGTACCCCTCCCCCCCCCATTTTCGGACAACCCCAGGTGCCTCTACCGTTGCATCCGTGATTTCGCTCATCTGCGAAGGCAACGAGCCGAACCTGCGGCTTCTTGCAGCAGACGCGCACTGCTACTGGGCACTCTTGGGAGGCTCGGTAGCCCGGTAGTACCCTTTGCCTTTTTGTTTTTGGGTTCTGGGTTCCCTTATAAAGTAACCTCAACCCCAAAAGGGGTGCCCTTATTGTAGTATGGTGACTCGGCTACCAAGGAGGGTGCAACTGCAAGGTTGAGAAGGAAGTCTGCGAGCGACTGATCTCCTTGGTCCATGGTCTGTTTCTTGGTAGCCCAGTGGTACCCTTTTCCCACCTTGGTTTAGGGGGTTTCCAGGATTTCTGATGAACTACCCAACCCCTAAAAAGCGTGCCCTTCTTGTAAGTTGCAGGTTCCCCCTAAACCCTACAACCTAGATTGATCTCAAGGTGGGAGCACTGTAGACACCAAAGCTTAGAATTGGTCCAGACCAACAGCGTGGTCGTGGAACGTGCTGCCTTCTACCTGTCGCAGGCCTTGTAGCTTGGCAGCCCTGTGGTACCCTTCTGCCCTGTTTGGATTCCCAGTTCCCTTACAAAAGAAACCAAATTCCACAAGGCATACCCGCGTAAGAGGGGTAATCTAGGGGCGTTAATGATTAGCACAGGGCTTTGGGTGTTATTACAGTATATTATATTTATAAAGGGGCCTAGGAGAATACTACTCGTAATTCTTTCGACCCCTACATTAACTGGGCTACCAAGGCAAGCTTCGCCCCAAGATGACTCGGTCACGGGACCTGATTCGCCGATGGTCTCACCCGCCTCCCAAGAGCAGGCCGCTCTGCTTTTGCTCGACGCCATCGCCTGTGGTGGACGCTTCAAGAAACTCGGTAGGCCTTCATGGATATTTTCCCTTGTTTGGGTTTAATTTAAGAGGATCATGTTTTGGAATATTTTTCAGAGGCGTTTAAGGGGACAGCCCAGGAAGAGAGCCTTGCGGGGGATTATGCCGCAGCTGGCAAGTCGTTCAGGTCAGGGAGGCTTCTTCACAAGTCCCCAGGCGTGCGTGCGAACTCTTGGTGTGCTGGTTGCAAAGAATGCCATCGATGATCCGCAGCTTGTGTCGGCGGAGGAGATTACGCAGATGCTCCGGACCGTGCGCTACATCATCGAGTCCGTCTCCGCGCAGAACGTGGCGCCAAAGACGACTGTGGATTCGGGGCAGGGGAAGGACATGGTGTACTTGGATCTGGCGGGGCTTCCAGAGCTTCGTTATGTGGCGCTTCTCCTGGAGGTTGTGTCGAAGACTTTGGAGCACAAACTCCTCAAGGACAGGGAGCTGGAGCGAGAGGCATATGAAGCTGCCTTCAACGCAGGCGATGGGTTGCTTGTCGTTATTCCACTTCTGCAAGCTCCGCCTGAGGCCGCCGAGCACGCCCTGCTCTGCCTGTCGACGTTCTCGCAGACATACCTCGAAAACGTCGAGAAGATGATCCACTTGGGGGCGCTGGAGGCTTTGATGGGAGTGCCCTCGCCAAAGTCCAAGCCTATTGAGTCGCACATTGCAAAGACACTGGCGGCCCCGGCATCACGAAGGTCTGCCAGCAAACTCCTCATGCAGTGCACCGCCGCCCAAAGCTTCATGGACGTCGTCCAGGAGCACGGCGAGAGGTTTGTGAAGGAGCTTGTGAAGCTGGGCGTCCAGCTTTGGGCGGATGGAGCCGGAAGCGCGGAGTCGTTCCAGGACATCATCCATGTGCTCCACGCAATTTCCCTGCACAAGCCAGACATTTTGAGCAGCTTGGTAGCCCAGTGGTGCCCTTTTCCCTTTTTGGGGTTCAAGGTTCCCTTATAAAGTACCCAGCCCAAAAAAGGGTGCCCTTATCATAAGATGGTTACTGGGCAAGTAAGGCAGCAACTTGCGAGAGGCGGAGATGATGCAGCTGCTCCTGCGATTGGAGAAGGCGCAGACTCCAGCAACACCCCTGGCAGCGGATATCTTGAAAAGGCTTCGGAAGGACCGGAATTTCAAAAGGGCACTCGCGCCAGTGAAGCAGCTGTATGAAGAGGGCTACGATCCAGACCTGGAGCTCAAGCTCCGGCAGCAGACTTCCATGCAGATGACCGGGGTGAGCTGACAAGAGTGGCTGCAGTCACCTCAGCCAAGTCAGGGCGGAAGTATAGACCGTGATTGTACGCATTCATCGCTGTTTTAGCTGCAAGATGCAGCGCAGTTGCAGAGGGAGATCAACAGCAGATTCCAAGTGTCAGTGGAGAGAGTGTGCAGCTCGACCCATTTCATAGTCGTCTTCCATTGCAACTCGCGCCGGACCAAAAGAATCTCTTGAATCTAATGATAATGACTGATAATGTCTACAGTAATCTAATGTCATTAGTTATACCAACATCACAAGAAAGTCAGAATACTGAAGGTAGCCTTGCCCGCGATATGTGATTGTATTTGTTTATGTTAGATTGTTTGACTCTGCTATTTTCTGGTGCTATCTTAATACTGCTACGACTTGGAATGTTCCCCTTATACTAACAGTCCTTAATAGGGATTATAGTACCCCCTATTTGTAATCCCTCTCAAGGATCAGTTAGTATAAGGGAGAACATCCCAACCCTGAACCCGGAACCCTAAACCCTAAACCCTAAACCCTAAACCCTAAACCCTAAACCCAGTATACGGGGGAACATCCCAAACTACTTTTTTTCATTGTTCTATTGAGCGTCATGTTGGGCACCGGGGGCCTGCAGCTCTGGAGTTTCAAGGCCAAGGCTCCTATTTTTGCCCTTAGGGGGTTTAGGGTTTAGGGTTTAGGGTTTAGGGTTTAGGGTTTAGGGTTTAGGGTTTAGGGTTTAGGCTTGCCTGGGTTGAAAAGGGGCTGTGTAGCTTTCTGCCCGGCCCTTTCGCAGGCAGGACTCTTCGTGGGATGGGGCTTCAAGACCGTGGCCGCTCTATCGGTGTGCGACCCGGGATCTGGCCTTGGGGGTTTCTTTAGGGTTTAGGGTTTAGGGTTTAGGGTTTAGGGTTTAGGGTTTAGGGTTTAGGGTTTCCTTTGTAGTGTTTTACTGTAACTTTAGATCCTTAGCCTTTTTTGGGAATATTGGGCTTCTTCATAAGGCAGCTAAATTTTTACAATTTTTTACATTATAAAGGGGTGTACGACTAATTGCTTACGCAAAATGTTCTTCCTTATTAAGGGTATATTATTTATAGTAGTACAAGGAAGGACCCCTAGAAAGGGACCCTTGATCTTGTTCCCCTATATAACCCTTATCTATACTTAAAACAGTCCCTATATGGGTTCCGCTACTCTATACGACCCAACCTAGCTTCCCCCCAAGGGTGCCCCCCCCCCCCCCCCCCCCCCCCCCACCCAATTAAGGCTATTTCGGGATAGTGAAGTTTAGGGGGAACCTGGTGGGGGGGGGGGGGGGGAAGAGGTACTAGCCATGACTGTAGGGGTTTAGGGCTTAGGGTTCAAGGTTTAGGGGTTGATCTTAGTTTCCACCTGTGTTGCACCAAGCCAGGGCCTAAGAGTCCTGGTTCCAAAGAGCCCAATACCAGATAAGGAATATGCCTTCAATCATAATGTAGGGATCCTTAGCATGGCCTAAGGTGCATTCCTTAATTGAAGGGGTGTTGGGCTCTCCGGGTTACAGGATTGAAGATCTGTAGACCCCCAATCTGTGTTTATATCGGCCGGGCGACAACCTACGGACTTGTGGTTTAGGGTTTTTAGGGTTTCCACCAAAACCATCCTAAATCCTAAAAAACCCTCAATCCTCAGCCCTAAACCTGAACCGAATCCTGAGTTAGCCTGTTATATTCATATGAGAGAAACTTTTTTTTAATATTGAATAGTATGTATTCGGTGTATTCTGCCATCCTTTTTTTGTATGATCGAGCCCTGACTTCCCCCCAAACCCTAAACCCTGAACCATGCAGAACACTCGTTTTTGTCCTTGGCAAGTAACGAGGGTCTTCCCTGCAGTGCGATGTGCTGCATCAGCTAGCGGGTGACAAAAAACCCCAAACCCCAAACCCTAAACCCCAAACCCCAAACCCTAAACCTCAAACCCTAAACCCTAAACCCTAAACCTCTCATCCTCGAGGCCTCGGTGCTGCAGAGCTGGCTCGGCGGCTTGGTGTCTAAGCGCTGCGGCCTGAGCTTTCCAAGAAGGCCTCATAAGGGGCACCGGTTTGTCTGATTGTTTTACATATATATATATATGTATGTATGTATGTATGTATGTATGTATGTATGTATGTATGTATGTATGTATGTATGTATGTATGTATGTATGTATGTATATGTTACATACATATGTTTATGTTGGTATATATGTATATACATACATCACTAGAAGTGTATATGCATGCGTATATATATATATACATGCATACACACAACTTTCTTGAGTTGGGGTTCTTTTGGATGCGCCCCTGTCATGTTGGCAAGGGCCCTCGGCATGCGTGTCTGAGCACATCGGAGAGAGGGGCGGAGACATGCTTCACTTCGAGCTCTTGAGGGTTTGGGGTTTAGGGTTTAGGGTTCAGCTGACTTCAGGAGTCTGGGTCCAAAAAAAGGTTTAGGGTATAGGGTTTAGGTTCCGCAAGGTTGTGCCGACGACGCCAAGCCTTCAAGCCCCAAACCCAAATCTTTCGTAAACCCTGAAACCTCTCCGCGAGATTTCTCGGTGGAGCTGTGAGCGATGAACTCCAAAACGCACGCTTTTGAGCCCTATATGCCGATCGCGAGGCTTTTATGTCACCCCCCCAACACGTGTATATATGTATATATATATATATGTGTGTTTATGTATTTGTTTATTTATTTATTTATTCAAGCACGACAGGTTGTCCAAAGTCCTATGCCCTGTAGAAGCCCTCAACCCTAAACCTACTGCACACTACATGTCGTTCTCGATGGGTCGTGATAGATCCTGGGCTGCTGTTAGACAGTCAGACCGAGTGTCCCATAGAATTGCCATTCGTGAGTAAACCATAATATTAGATGATCAGATCATCGCATTGCCATGCTTTTGTAGCCCCCCCCCCCCCCCCCCCCCCCCCCCAACCCTAAACCCCAAAACCCTTAAAACAACAAACAAAAACAAACAAACCCACCCCCCTCATGTGTAGGCTTTGTAGTCGGAGTTAAGGACCCGTGATTGGAAGCCATCGAGCCCTGAAGCAGAATGCCCCAGCCTGAAGACATTCACCCCAGAAAGAATGAGACCTGATTGGGTTTGGGGTTTAAGGTTTGGGGCTTCGGCTTAGGGTTTTGGGTTTAGGATTTAGGCTTTAGGGTTTAGGGTTGCCAGTCGATCTTTGAGAGCCCCAAGGCCTCTCCACGGTCGTTCGTTCAGTGGCGTGAAGCTGGCTTGTTGTGGGGCTTCTGGTTTGGAAGTTGATGATCGTCGATCAGAAAGCTCAGTGTCCACCAACGATTGGACTTAAGAAGCTAACTTGTACATTGAAAAGCAGCATACCAGCAGCACACCAGTTATGGGGTCAAGTGTTGAGAGTGTCGCCACTGGAATCAGTCGCCGCTGCTGGAAATTCGCAGAGAAGAGATGAGAGAGAGAGAGAGAGAGCGGTCTTGCCTTCTGAAGGCTGTTTTGCATTAAACCCTAAACCCTAAACCCTGTAGTGGCCGAGCGGCATTGCGCACAGTGTTTGGCTGAGGCGCAGGTGCCACACAGTTGTAGGGATGGGCAGTTGGCAGGTCAAGCCACAGCCAAGCCGGACAAGGGCCAGGCAGCACCGCAGACACGTCGGCACAACAGCAGCTAGGAAGCCACCACTTCAGCAGTAACTATTCGTAGCCTCAGCGTAGTTTGGAGCTCCTACAGCCATGCTTGAACAGCTGCAGTCGGCGCTTTTGGATGGGCTCTTCCAGTTGCTTGGCGTCAAGAAGCACGAGGTCAAGGATGCTCCTCGGAACACCAAGCAGGCCATCGCAGCATCTGCTGCGCTGCTCCTCCTCTTTACCTGCCTTCTGCTGGCCGTGATGACGGGCGTCATGCTGCATCTATATCCCCCTTAGGAATCATTTTTTAAAATTTCTGTTTATATAAAACCCAAGAGGAAAACTAAGAATAATATTCTTATTAAGGTTCTAAGGGGAGTATAGGCATGCCTTCAGATCTGTGGCTGTGAACCCTTCGGGAGTCCTCACGTTGCCGGAAGACGAGGCGATGGTAGCAGGCCTCGGCGAAGCCGTCGACCTCTGTGGCCTTGTAGTAGAGTAGATAACCTTTTTGGGTTTAGGGTCTAGGGTTTAGGGGTTCGGGTTTAGGGTTTAGGGTTTAGGGTTTAGGGTTTAGGGTTTAGGGTTTAGGGTTTTTTTGGGTAATCTAATCCCCTTATAATCCCAAAGGTTAACCTTTAGTTACCCCAGGTTACTGGACAACTAAGGTGGCCTTGCAGACTACCCCAAGCTCCCGGCACAGGATCTGCGTCGCATCGAGGACGTTGCTTTCTCTTTGGAGGGGGCGTTTCACTTCTACCGGGTCGCCAGCATCCATCAGACGAAAGGCGGTGGGGTTCGAATAGAAGCCGAGGATGGCACGCGCCTGCTCGTGCAAGACGGCACAGTCAGCTTTGAACGCCGCTGGTTCTCGAAAGATGCTTTTACCCAAGATGAGAGCGTAGGCTTAGGGGGACCTGCAGCGACGCTTAGAATTGTGCAGCCAGACTCGCGCAGTGGATGAGGGCTCAGCATGGTCATAAGCTTCCCGGCCGTTTAGGGTTTAGGGTTTAGGGTGTCTGGTTGAGCCAATGTAGTCTGGGAGGTCTGTATCTCCTGTTGAGCAGGGAGTATCTGACAGAGCTCCTAGCATTGACGTGTCACCAACAGAGTTTCACTTTGAACATGGAAAGGAGCTACACAGCCACCGCGTGAAAACGTCTGTTCCCTTTTCTCTCGGACGTCTGAACATAGAAGCTGGCCTGGCACATGCCGGGATTGAACGTCCAGCCTCATGTCAGACCCGGCCTAATACCCGCCCTAAACCTGGAAACCCTAAAACCCCTACATCCTAAAGCCCTAAGCCCTCAGCCCTAAGCCCTAAGCCCTAAACCCTAAACCCTTAAACCCTTAAACCCTAAACCCTAAACCCCAAACCCCAAACCCCAAACCCCAAACCCCAAACCCTAAACCCTAAACCCTAAACCCTAAACCCTAAACCCTAAACCCTAAACCCTAAACCCTAAACCCTAAACCCTAAACCCTAAACCCTAAGCCAGGCAGTGCCTGTCGCTCTTGATCATCTACTTCTTTGGGGACCTCGCCGGGGCCTCGGGAGCTCTTTCAGATGCTAAGGGTTTAGGGTTTAGGGTTTAGAGTTTAGGGTTTAGGGCTTAGGGCTTAGGGCTTTGGGCTTTGGGCTTTGGGCTTTGGGCTTTGGATAGGTTCAGTATGGAGAAGTAGGGGCGAGCTCACACGCTCACTCAACAACCCTAAACCCTACAGGCCAAAAAAACCTTCACCGATCCTCACCGTAACCCTGAGTGACCCCCTAAACCCTAAACCCTGAACCCTAAACCCTAAACCCTGAACCCTAAACCCTAAACCCCGAAACCCTCTTGGAAGGTGCTGAAGCGCCTGGAGTTTGACTGGATTGTAGGCGCGGCCGCCATCGTCGTCGCCCTGAGCGTGCAGGCCAGGGGCTTGGCTCGGGTTGAATGCGGTTTAGGGTTTAGGGTTTAGGGTTTAGGATTTCGGGTTTAGGATTTCGGGTTTCGGGTTTCGGGTTCAGGGGATCTGTTTGTTTAGTGTTGTGGGGGGGAGCTTGAAGTTTTCTGCATGGGGTGTTGGGGCTTGGGGTGGAGCGCCTCTGCACGCCTAAGGAACCCTAAACCCTAAACCCTAAACCCTAAACCCTAAACCCTTTTTTTTAAAGTTTTGACGGGTTCTTAAGCAACTCGTAGGGGAGTTCTGCGACGGGGGCGTGGGGTCTTGCTCCACCAGCAGCACCTGGCTTTAGACCACATCAATTCAGTCATGTTCGTCCTCCTCAAGGTCAAGTTCGAGACATATATGGATGTACATGTATGTAAATAAATAAGTATAGATAAATAAATAAGTAACTATATATATATATACATGTGGTTAACTACTTGTATCTGTATTCAGACTTTGTTTGTTCACTTTCAACTGTTCATGCCCCTCGCCCCTAAAGTTCATGCACTCTCTGTGCATTCATGCATTCGTTCATGTGTTCGGCTTCCGCTTGGGTCAGTCAAACTCCTCGGACTTCCCCTTGTGGTTTCTTTTTCGCAGCGCCAAGTCCGGAAAATTTCGCTTTAGTCTGTCGGTAGCTCTTTGAGGGACAGCTTCTTGTGGCCGAATTGCTTCAACGACTTGAGCGGCTGGCTGAAGCCAGCTTGCTTAGCTTGTTTTTTTCAATGATAAGGTAGCTCCTGGTATTTCTGTCATTATTATTTCCTCTAGCATTATGTGTTGTTTTTGTGGTTATTGTTTTGAGCCACTCAGTGTTTATTTATTGTTAGTTGGTCAATAACTAGATATGTACATTCATGTACATGCACACACACACACATATATATATATATATATGTAGTATGTAATGTCATGTCATGTCATGCCATGTAATGTAATCTAATCTAATGTAATGTAACGTAACGTAACGTAATGTATGTATGTATGTATGTATGTATGTATGTATGTATGTATGTATGTATGTATGTATGTATGTATGTGTGTGTGTATGTATGTATGCATATATATATATATATATGTATAGATATATATATATATATATAAACACCTATGAAGGACTGTTAGTGTAAGGGGGAGCATCCCAATGCATCGTGTGCTTTTTCCCAGCAGACCTGCCTGCGCCAGGTCTTCACATTGGCCGGGCAGCGGCGGAAAGAGGCCAATGGCTCCGCGGGCCGGTGGGGGGCTAGGGCCATTTTGGGGGCCAAAGAGGTTAGGGTTTAGGGTTTAGGGTTTAGGGTGGCAAAAAAGGGTTTAGGGTGGGTTTAGGCTCAGACCAGTGGCAAAAAGGGTTGAGGGTTTTTGGGTTCAGGGTGCAGGGATTAGGGTTTAGCAACAAACAAGGAGCTACAAGACCTGATAGAAAGCCTACCAGAACCCTATCCGATATGAACCCTACGTCATCCCTTGTAAGCGCTGAACCCTCAGCACGCGAGTACGAGGTGACCAGCTGACATCACACGGGCGTGCCATGAGCGGCGTACCCGGCTTGGAGGCAGCTGTAGCTGGACCACCAAAGTTCCCAGAACTTATATAGGGTTTAGGGTTTAGGGCTAGGGTTATAGGGTTTAGGGATTGCCTTCCCAGACCCATGACTTTGTCGCAGCGGGGTAACATTTACATTTTTGTGGGTGCTAAGACCCAATAAGGAATAGAAATTTAGATGTTTAGCCCTCTCCCAAGGGATGAAGACTCGTACCCCTAAGGTCGTTCCCCTACGAGGTTCCCTTTAGTATGGTCCAAATACGGCCCTTGGAGGATCTTTAAGAAGGGTCCCCAAACCCAAGGGTACAACCTTTGTCCAAGGTAGATTCCCATGACCAAGCGCGTACACCCTGTTAATCATCATGGGTCATGTGGGGGGGTCTACTGCCGACCGTCTAAGGCCTATTTGGGGCAGCCCGCGTTGCATGGTTCTTTGTCTCGTAGTGCGGGAGAAGGCTCCTGATGGCTCGAGAGCCTCAAGGAGCCAGAAAGCCCTCAGCCCAACCTGAAACTGTGCCTAACCCCTAGACCCTAGCCTGCAAACCCGAGGCGCAACCGCTACATCCGCGTATACATGGGAGGGGGACGGTTCCCTTGTTTCCGGAGCCCTGGAAAATCGCCATGCTAGGGGAGTCGAGCTCCGCGCGACCAGGGAAGTTTCGCGATCTGCCAAAGTGCGGCGTAGATCAAGTGAAGGATTGAGGGTTTAGGGTCGGGTTTAGGGTTCAGTGGGGGTAGATCAATTGAAGGATTGAGGGTTTAAGGTCGGGTTTAGGGTTCAGTGGTTTTGGGGAGATTTCAAGTGGCAGTTTCTTCTCGTCCTTGCTTGGAGGGTTAATCTAAGAAGTGCGGTGGACGCGTGCACCTACCGGGCTAGAGCTGGACCAGGCCCACCATAGAAATCAATACCGACCGATCGCCCACGACTTGTTCCAAGAAATATGGTCGCGGCCAGCCCGGCAGCATTGTTTTATCACCCCCCCAATCGCCAACATGATGCTTGGTTGCGCTGGCGAGGGGGTCGTCTAGGCTGTTCTTGTGGGACAGGAGCTTCTCCTGGTTTAGGGTTTAGGGTTTAGGGTTTGGGGTTTAGGGTTTAGGGTTTAGGGTTTAGGGAGAGGTTCCAGAGTCCCTACCGCAAGCCCAGCACTTGCTTCGCTAATGCAAAAAGCAGACCGGCATCAATGCTTTTGTCCCCCCCTAAACCCTAAACCCTAAACCCTAAGCCCTAAACCCTAAACCCTAAACCCTAAACCCTAAACCCCTCATGTAATTAATGAACTCATCATTCCCCGATTCTCTGTATTTGCATCCACACTGGCATATGGGTGTTCTGTATTGGGAATGGCCTGCAAAGCCGGTACCTGCGTGGAGCGAGGTTCTCGACTACACGTCAAGGTTGCATGGGCAGAGAGAGACAGAGAACAAAAAAAGACATCAAACAACAGAGAGAGAAAGAGAGAGAGAAGGAGCGAGCGAGAGTCACTCTCGGTACTTGCTCAGAGCTGATTGCCGTCGCGTGCTGCTATCGCCATGTGCAGTCTCTGTCGGAGGTTCCTCAATTCTCCTTAGACTTTGAGCATGTCACGGTTGTTGCTTACATGTCTGCACAAAGGGAGGGAGCAGCTTGGCCAACAGCAAGCCTTGTGCACACCTCGCCTCCAGCCATGGTGCAAGATTCGGACACTACAAGCGAGGCGGGCTTGTAAAGTCCAGGATGTAACATGTGGGACTACCGGACCATGCAGCACGCAAGGCCGTGAGGTCTGATGGAAAGGTATGGATAAATTAATGAGGCGGAGCTCTTGTTCCATTCACTGCAGCGCAAGGCGACGAGCGATGAGAACGCCGCGAGGGCACAGGCAGCACAGCTCTAATTGCAGATAATGCCCTCGATCCTACAGCTTCCCCTGTCCCAGCCTCAACCTTGACCACCTCGAAGTAGTCCGCAGAGTCAGCTAAACCCCCAACCGCAACTCACACCGAAGTGCTTCCCGTAATATACTCATAATGTGGGCCTTATACTTCCTTAGAGGATCTTGAACCTGGAAGAAGGGTCCACCAAAGGTTTAGGGACTCTGAAAGCTCTCAGGCATGTGCGCTTGAAACCCTATTTTTCCACCTTTTGCACCTAGGGTTTAGGGTTTTGGGTTTAGGTTTTAGGGTTTAGAGCCGTGTGTGACAGCCGAGATGCGGTCCACGCTGGTTGCTGCCTTCAGCAATCTCTCCACGGCCTACAACTTGGTGAACATCAACCTGTCACAAGCGTCTCGGCACTTTGAATAAGGGGTCTGTTTTCAACTGTTCCTTTTGCCAGCGTCCTCCAGTTCGTGGATCTTTGTGGCAGATCGGAAGTGAGAATTTTCAAGCCCTAAACCCTAATCCCTGCAGCGAAGTAGGGCCGGTTTGCAGACCTTTCCGAGGTGATCATCGAGGAGCAATACTGCAGTGGTGAGCCTTGGCCGCGCTGAGGCACGCTACAAAGAGACGTGTTAGGGTTTAGGGTTTAGGGTAACTAAACTTAAAAACCTACACCCTAAACGTGCGTGAGAGTGAAGGACGAAGCCGGAAACCTTAAACTCTAAACCCTAGATGGCCTTGTATTGAGCATTCCACGGGCCTCGTGGCGGATATTGGCTGGAATCTTCAGTTATCCCGAATCGTTGACCTGCAGGGTGGCTTGTTCTGCCTGGCGGGCGGCAAGAAAACTTAGATCGGTTGAAGAAGTCTTTGAGGCAGTGTGAACAGGGTTGGGCCAGGCCACAGGGAAGTGAGCTTGGCAATTGCATTCGGTTTTTCCGGGTTTAGGGTGCAGAAGGGTTTAGGGTTTACGTTTAGGGCTTAGGGTTTACCTATTGCATCCTATTGCAAAAGAGGAAGGGGGTCATGCCGAGGACAACTGCAACGCTTCTGTAGCCACCACGAGCTCTGCGTGCCTGGCGGGCGCCATCTTCGGCCAGCTCACCTTTGGCCGGGCAGGGTTTAGGGTTTAGGTTTAGGGTTTAGGGTCTAGGGTCTAGGGTTTAGGGTTTAGGGTTTAGGGTTTAGGGTTTAGGGATGTTTAGGGATGTTTAGGGTTTAGGGTTCAGGGATGTTTAGGGTCTAGGGTTTAGGGTTTAGGGTTTAGGGCTGGGCAAGGCCGGGCAGGGTCGTGGGTTGTGGTTTGGGAAGGGAAGCGGCGACCACCCATCGGTGTTATGGTAGAAGTTGGGATGTTCCCCCCGTATACTAGCATTAGTAGGGATTCTAGTACCCCCCTATGAAAATCCCAATGAAGGACTGTTAGTTCGTATAAGAGGGAACATCCCAAGTTATGGTAGAAGCTTCAATTTGGCGGCTGTGGCTGCCGTGTCGTCTGTCAAGTCAGGACTGTGGAGGGGCATGCCCAGTTGTTGTCGGGTTTGGGGTTCAGGGTTTAAGGTTTAGGGTTTAGGGTTCGGCTTGTTTCCCAAGAAGAGCTCTACTCATCCTTCCGCCACGGTTGCAGGGTACATCGGGGACTGTCTTGGACGTGGCCCTGCGTTGCTCTGATGGAGAGTTGGCTCTTTTAGACTGTTAGGGTTTAGGGTTTAGGTTATACAAGGGAGTGAGTCGGAGAGAGATTCAGGCCGAATGAGGGGTCCCTCAGTACATGCGGTGGGTCTCGGAGCGTTGGTTGAGATTGGTTGTGCTTCAGGATGCTATCTCACCAGATCTTCCGCCTGACCCGAAAATCTTGACGCAATTGCGGGGAAGCACATCAGCCAAGGAATGTCCGAAAACCGTAAAGCACAATTCTGCCTCACAGCGCTTATCAGGAGTGGACATGAAAACTTGTCCCCCCACGATCGCTCGATTTCCATGCCCTCGGCATCCTATTTTAGGGTTTTAGGGTTAAGGGTTTAGTCGTCGACTTTGAAACCTTAAAGCCAAATCCAGTTGAGGCTCCGCTTGACGATGGTGCTGTCCATTGCAGGGGCGCTGGTGTCAGCTTTTGCCGTACCTTGTCCCAGCGGAGGTTTCGAGAATCGAGGGGGTTACTACTAGTTGCTTAAGAACCCCCGTGAAACATAGAAAATATTCCTCCTTAGTTTTAATTGTTTCTTTTTTGGGGTTCTTAAGCAAATAATGGTCTCTTATTTATCTATTTTTTAAATTGTTTTGGGATTCTTAAGCAAAAATCTCGGCCGTGCCTCGCTCTGTCGCCGAGGTTCCATTCAGCCCCAACAATCCCACCTCTGCCACTTGGCGACAAGCATGTGCTCACCGAGGCTTTTGGCAGTCAGGAACAGGTTTAGGGTTTGGGGCCTTTAGGGTCTTGGGGTTTAGGGTTTAGGGTTTAGGGTTTAGGGTTTAGGGTTTAGGGTTTAGGGTTTAGTTATCCCCCGTAATCGGGACCTTGTATGCCCCCCCCCAAAAAAAATGAAGTGAGAATCCTTATGATAGGGCGGATTTACAGTGTCTGCTTGTACTTTTCCTCTCAGTCAAGCCCAAACCGAAAAAATCTTGCCTGCCTTGCGCGAGCGCGAGAGTCGAAACACACAAGTTGGTATCGTTTAACACACGGCTTAAAGCATTACCCTGTGCTGCATAGGATTCGCAGCAGACCAAGATAAGGTGTGCATGAAACAAGCTGGTCTCTCAAGAAGTCGCTCGACCACTACAATATTCCTCAGTCCCCCCACCTTCAGTTACATCATGGGTTGTGACAAAAAGGACTGGTAGCAGAGACATGCAGGTTTGAACATGTTTTATTTGTATTTCCATTTATACCCTATATAAGGCTTATAAAGCCATCAAAATTTAGTTGTTTTTAGGTACCCCAGTGTTTTGCAGTAGTCGAAACCTTGAACCAACCCATAAACCCTGGAAGCCCTAAACCTGCCCCCAAGGTGTTTGTGTTCCTGAGCGTGGCCCGTTTCATCCTTGGCGCGGGCGTCGGCGGCCTGGCGCCCGGAACACGAATCGACGTAAGGGAATTTAGAAAGTTCCTGTGATCACGCCTCCAACCGGTCATGACCATCACATGAGAAGCTTCAGTCCACTTAAACCCTCAACCCTAAGCCCAAAGGCGTGTACCCACTGGCCGCCACCGTGGCAGCGGAAGGATCGGATGCAGAGACTCTCTGGCTGCAGATTGGTTACCGGCTGCAAGGTTGGGATGGTGCATCGCAGCTCATAGGAATTGTATAATATAATACTGTGTTGCATCATATCATGATATTGTATTGCATTAAATGATTACACTGTACTACATTATACCATTATATAATGTATTACATATATTATTTATAGTACTACATATTCTCATATAGTGTTCTAGCACATGTCATCCTTTACCTTACATGTCTGCGTTTTGCAATGTCAAAGAGTTGGGAACAGAACACAGAAGCAATGAGGGTGCAACGAACAGTGCAAAAGCCTAGATCATTGCCAACTAGGACCCAGAGTAGGCCCCTTATTCCCTTCTTTGTTCAGGGTTAAGGTTCCCCTACAAGCCCCTTAAACCAAATAGGGCACCCGTTTTGTTCCTAGGTTACTCTTGTGTCTAGACATCTCTCCTGGTTTCACCTCTTCCTCTTCAAATTCCGGCCCCAAATCCTCACCTCTTTAGCGTGCACTGACGTACCCGACGCAGTGCCGCGCGCCACAGCGTGCCTTGCAGGGTTTAGGGTTTAGGGTTTAGTAGGGTTTAGTAGGGTTTAGTAGGGTTGGGTTTTGGGTTTAAGGTGGGCAAGGATGTGTAGCGCTATGTCGGCCACGCAGGGTGCTTGCGCATACCTGGCCATCCGGAGCAGCCCTGGGCCAAAGAGTCTGTCTAGTAAGCAGGGATTTTCTCATACCCAGACCCTTGGGAGGATCCAAAAAAGTAGATCCCGTAAGGGTTCCTAAGTATGACCCAATAGTAGTATGGGGTACTATTTGGGGGTTCGGATCGTTGCAGGGGTCTGGGTAAAAGTTCATACACGACTCCTCGAAATGACAACTGCGACATTGCTTTTTCTAAGATCATATGTTATATGGACGTATGCACATATGTTTTCGATGAGCACGTCATATAGCGTAATCGTTGTGATTCTTGTCCTTGCGCATATCGAGTACGACATACCATGTTGCAGGAACAACCCATCATCACTTTTTTGAGTCACACATGACACACCATGTAACATTCCCATAAAACACAAACAGTACACCTTATTGTCACGAATAACAACTATGCATGCATTTTAGCATTGAATCAAAGATGCAAAACGGCATCATCAATCACACATAATGAAGCCTATGATCATGAACACCAAAAGGCGATTTATTACTATCAGAAATAGCAAGTAGGTCACGTCACCATGCATACCAACTACGATAGAGATATTATCATGAGCAGCAAGTACTAAGCAAGATAATGCTGTAAAAAACATGTTTAAGCCCTAAACGCTGAACCCTAAAACCCCAGGTTGTGAACCCCACTTAGGGAGGTAGAGGTCATCTGGGGTTGGGCTCCCAAAGGAGCCGCGGACGCTCCGTGGCTTTGGTGTTCTCCATGCAGGGCGTCGGCCCCTGGGATTGTCTATTAAAGTTTGGGGTTTAGGAAGTAGGGTTTGGGGTTTGGGGTTTAGGGGTTAGGGTGCGCAGGCCGCAACAAGGCGCACCGTCGAACATCTGAACCTTATATCAAAACGTCAATAGGCAAAAGTTCACAAACCCTAAACCCTAAACCCTAAACCCTGAACCTTTGACAACATCTTGGAACAATGCCTCGGGTTGCAAAGTTTAGGCCGGGCTCCAACTTGGGTTTCTTACTTCTCAGATATTCTTAGGAGGGATATACTGTGGGGGGTGGGGGGGAACAGAAAAGGGTTTCGGGTTTAGGCTCTAGGGTTTAGGGTTTAGGGAGATACCTTATATGGTCCCTCAAGAGCGACTCTGGTGAAGAGGCGCAGTTCATGGAGTCGCTGAAGCCCGGGAAGCCACCACCCCGTAAGGCTGCTGAAGTCAACATGGAGCGGCTAAACCTTGGGTTCAGGGTTTCGGGTTTAGGGGTTAGGATTTAGGGGTTTAGGGGTTTAGGGTTTAGGAGGGAGAGAGCGGGTTCAGGGTTTCGGGTTTAGGGTTTAGGGGTTAGGGGTTTAGGGTTTAGGAGGGAGAGAGAGGGTTGAGGGGTTGAGGGGTTTAGGGGTTTAGTTTTTAGGGGTTTAGGGGTTTAGGGGTTTAGGGGTTTAGGGGTTTAGGGGTTTAGGGGTTTAGGGGTTTAGGGTTTGGGGTTTAGGGTTTAGGGTTGATGCATGGGGTCCTTGGGTCAGAGGCTGAGTGTCTAGGGGAGGCCGTTCGGTAGGGATTCAAATAGGGGGTACTATAATCCCGCTTAAGGACTGTTAGTAAAAGGAGCCCCGCTTGTAAGGTCAGCTTCTCGTACCCATCGTGGGCATGGCCCTCGTCTACACTTTTGGAGCTGTGGCCGCACTACAAACCGAGAGAAGCTCTACTAAGCGGGGCTTTCGGATTTGGAGTCAGGTTCGGTTTCTTGGGATTCTTGGGGTCACAGGAGCCCTAAACCCCAAACCCTAAACCCTAAAATCTGGCTCCGAATTGAGGCACTTATGATGACCGGGTGGGCAGCCACCAGCACATGCCAGGCGGCCAACAGCTGTCAATATCTCCTGTTGAGGGCTCCTGTTTCAAGCAGGTTTAGGGTTTAGGGGTACCCCAAACCCCAAACCCCACAGCCCAAACCCCAAACCCTAAACCCTAATCTGCGTGGTGTCTACCTTTGCCTTGATTGTTTCGTGCGAGTGTGAGAGTGGAAGCCGCTTCGTGTCAGCGAGCATGGTCACCGGGGCTGGCTTCTCCGAGTGCGAGGGTTTAGGGGTTTAGGGCTTAGGGTTTAGGGTTCACCCTAAACCCTTAAACCCCTAAACTTGGGATGTTACCCCTCATACGAACAGTCCTTAGTAGAGATCATAATAGGGGGTACTATAATCCCTAGTAAGGACTGTTGGTATAGAGGGGGAACATCCCTAAACCTCTAACCCTGAACCCTGAAACCCCAAAAAACCCCAAAAAAAACCCAAAGCCCTAAACAACCTACACAGGTAAACCCTTACTTCATCCCCCCCCCCCCCCCCCCCCCCCCCCACCCTACCCTAAACCCTGAACTCTAAACCATAACCCCCCCCCCCCCCCCCCCCCCCCCCGCCACCCCCCTACCCAAAAAAACATCCCTAAACCCTAAACCCTAAACCCTAAACCCAAAAACAACCTGCAGGGATCACTTGGCGGCTAATCCTCGGCCTGGGAGCGCTCCCAGGACTATGGGGATCCTGCTTTGGGGTTTAGGGTTTGTAGCCCTAAACCCTAAACCCTAAACCCCAAACCCCAAACCCTAAACCCTAAACCCTAAACCCTAAACCCTAAACCCTAGCCCTAAACCCTAAACTGGGTTGTGCTTTGGGATAATGTTAGGTTCCCTTCTTTCCTTATAAGGGAACCTAGTCATATAGATAGTTTTCAATTGGTTTAAAACACAACTCAGTAAACCCTATACCCTAAAAAAAGGCATTGGGCATGAAGCAGCTTCCAGGTTGAAAAAGGGCAGTTGTGTGCGCAACCCCAGGAACCTAAACTTATAACCCCAAAGCCTGGTGAGCTGCCAGGCGGGTGGTCAAAAGAAGCATTCCAAATAGGATGCCCACTCCAAGGGGTTTAGGGTTTAGGGTTTAGGGTTTAGGGTTTAGGGTTTAGGGTTTAGGGTTTAGGGTTTAGGGTTTAGGGTTTAGGGTTTAGGGGGTCCATTTCGGCCGTTGGGGGCTTTTTATGGGCTTTGTTGGTGAGTTTGGTGAACGAACACAGTTGTCACAGAAATACCCGTCTAGTTTATTCCCTACTAAGATTAATCCACAGACAGTCGCATCCTGTAATTTACCAAAAAAAAGTTTAAGGTGTACCCTGAAACTGTGAGCCCTGAGTTGCAGGGGCTATGTTTACTTTTGGAGGGCGAAGAGAAGCAGCCCCTTCTCCGCGCTCCCTTCTTCACTCAACCTCATGGGCACCGAGCCACTGTTGCCAACCACCCCCCGAAACCCAAAACCCGTTTGCAGGGTTCAGGGTTGCGATGTTCCCCCTTATACTAACAGTCCTTAATAGGGATTTTAGTATCCTACTCTGTTGCCAAACCCGAAACCCTAAACCCTAAATTCTAATAAGGGTCAACATTCCAAGTTTAGGGCTCGTAGGGTTTAGGCCAGTTTGGGGTAGTCTAGGGCTAAGACGGGGGTCCAAGGAAACGCCTGAACAGCCTCCCGGTCCATGTAGCTAGGTTTGGGGTTTGGGGTTTGGGGTTTGGGGTTTAGGGTTTAGGGTTAGGGTTTAGGGTTTAGGGTTTAGGGCTTAGGGCTTAGGGCTTAGGGTTTAGGGTTTTTCTGGTTTCGGATGCGTTTCATGATCGTTCGGGTCCGCTGTTTTTTGCTTCGAGGGTTGAGTGGCCATCTGGACGTTCGACTCTGAATATCTAAAGTAACATCTTATGAACTATGAACCCTAAGCCCTGCACCAGCAAACCTGTCAAAAGCCTCTGGAGCTACAACTGCCTGCCTTGGCTTGTCAAACCCTTAAACCGCCAAACCCTAAAAAACCCTACAACCCAGAAGCCTCTACACCCTTAACGCCTAAATCCTAAACCCTAAGCCCTAGCCCTAAACCCTGATCACAGCCGGCACCCGGACCGAATCCTTGCCTGCGTGAGCGAGTGCAAGAGAGTTAGGGTTTAGGGTTCAGGGTTTAGGGGTTTGGGGTTTAGGGTTTAGGGGAACCCTAAATGAAAACCCCTAGCAGCCCAACGGTGGCAAAAAACAAACTTGAGGACTTTTGCTGATGCCCTTCCAGTCGTCGAGCCGATCCGAGCCGAGGTCGGTAGCGTCCCCCGAGGACACGCAGGGTTTAGGGTTTAGGTTTAGGGTTTAGGGTTTAGGGTTTAGGGTTTAGGGTTTAGGGTTTAGGGTTTAGGGTTTAGGGTTTAGGGTTTAGGTCAGTTAGGGCTCTGTCCTACCCAGGCGAAGTGCGAAGCCTGTTGCAGCAAGGGTTTAGGGTTTGGGGTTTTGGGGGTTGTCTGTTTTAGCAACCAGGATCTGCTAAAGCAAGCCTGTAAAGTGGAAACTGTCATCATAAATAGTATGAACCTGTCAGGTCTACTTGATTTTTATCTGAAGGGATTCCTTAGGTGTTCGCCGAGACTCCATATCTCTAAGACTAGTTCAACATACCCCAAACCCATACCCCTTTAACCTTTCAAGGAGAAAATAGGCACGCATTTGCCACACCCGCCAGTTTCTTTTAAGGGGTATGCCCAAGGGGTATGTTGTTTTTCTTTTAGACTTTCCTTTAGGTGGTGAATATTTCCTTCAACTGTAAGCTGCTACCCTGGCAGGTACCCTCCGCAACTTCCCCTCAATCCTAAACCCCAAAACCCTAACCCCTCGAAGCCCCAAACAAACCCTCTTGGCCGAGACTCTCGAACCCGCCCTAAAGCGCCAGAATTCCGGCTCGCGTAGCTTTGTGAAGGATGCGACTGCGTCGTTCACACCCGGGCTTTGGCAGGCCTCTCGGGGTCTGTAGGTATTACGGTTCAGGGTTGCAGCCGGGGGTTAGGGTTTAGGGGCAAGATGTTTAGAGTAGTTGAGGTTTAGGACCTGGCTAGGAATTTCTGGGGTTCATGTGTGGAGACTACCTGCATTTTAGTTTTTTGCCATCATGCCTCTCTCTTTTCGGTGCTGACTCTCGGAGCTACGGTTTTGTCCTTTCCCTGCAAACCCCTGCGTCCGCCAATAAAGCCGGTACTTATCGGGTCCTTGAGGAAGGAGGGGCTCAACGGGGGTATGTAACCCAAGGTGCCCGAACTCCCCACTACTCCCTAACCTAAGGATTTCTAGGTACCTGCCCCCCATGATACCCCCTCCCTTAGGGACCCTAGAATGTAAACACACCTTTGTCTTAGCAGTAGAGTAACCTTTTTTTTTATATTCCCCTTATAATCCCAAAGGTTAGCCTTTCCCCTAAACCCTAAACCCTAAACCCTAAACCTTAAGTTATTTGGTGTTTCGGGAGGGAGGCCTCAAAGATGTTCAAGCCCTCCCTCCTCAACGGCCCGAAAGCCCCATGGAGATCATCCCGAACGCCATCAAACCCCCAGGAACTTCAGGAACCTCAAGCCCTAAACCCTAAACCGTAACCCTAAACCCCCGCCGCAGAGAGTGCTTGCAGAAACCCTAAACCCTAAACCCTAAACCCTAAACCCTAAACCCTAAACCCTAAACCCCATCCGCAAGAGCCTCAGAGGCGCTCCGAAACCGTCGCTACTGGCGCAACATCGTGGGCTGTGCTGGCGGCTGGCTCCTCTGCTTTGTGTGGACACTGGGAAAGGGCTTTTGGGGGTTTAGGGTTTAGGGTTTAGGGTTTAGGGTTTAGGGTTTAGGGTTTAGGGTTTAGGGTTTAGGGTTTGGGGTCTCACCAAGTCCCAGTTGCAAAAAGGGTTTAGGGTTTAGGGTTTAGGGCTTCAGCTTTTGAGGTTTTGTTTGGTCAAAGGGCTGTCAGGCTGGCTCAACACCTTTTGGGAGGTCGACCGGCTTACGTGGTAGGAGCGGACTAATTGTGTGAGATTTACTGTGGACGTTGCATGAGATGGGATGGTTTAGGGTTTGGGGTTTAGGGTTTAGGGTTTAGGGTTTATGGTTGCGGCAAGCCAGGTTCCTGTTCGACATCACCTTCTACGGGAACACGCTGTCGCTTGGCGAAAAGCAGACGGAGCCACGACAGCGCCAAATGGGCATTTCCCAGAAGAAGGCTACGTGTACCCTACCTTACCCCAAAATACTGTCATCCTCAGTACAGGAACCCGCAAAAAGTGCATCCCAAACCCTAAGCCCGGACCCTACACCGGGATGAGAATCCAAAACCCTTGATATTTCGGAACCCCCCGCCATCCCAAAACCCCCCCCACTCGCCCCCCCCCCCATGGAGCGGCGGCCCAGGAAGGCCTTGCGCAGGTGCATATCTCTGCGAGCCGGGCTCATGGAAAAGAAGTCTGAGCTCTATGTTTTACAGAGCTATGACTTCCCCTGTACCTACTTGTACTATGGCCCCAGACCCCAAACCCCAAGCCCCAAACCCTTCGAGGCTGCTAGGCAGGTGGTAACAAACCCTTACCCTCAGATGTTGGAGACAGCGCCGAGTAAAACCCTGAACCCTAAGCCTTAAAACCTGAACCCTCAACCCTTAACCCTTAAACCTGAACCCTAAACCCTAAAGCCTCTAAGGTTTTCTCCGACGGTTTTGCGCGACGTCTTCGAAGTCGATGGGCCAGTCCCAGTCGTCGGCCCAACCTTGCGGCCCAACTGAACCAGATGGGTTTAGGGTTTAAGGTTTGTAGGGTTTACGGTTTAGGGTTTAGGGTGATTTGGGGTTTAGGGTTTAGGGTAATTGGGGGTTTCGGGTGTAGGGTATTTGGTGATCTGGCTAGTCCTCAAGCCCAGTTGCAAAAAGGGTATTTGGTGCAGAGCCTGGGTTCAAAAAGGGTGATCTGCGCGCCTACGAAAATAAGGGGGACTCCGAATACAAACTCCCCAAATAGCAGGGATTGCCTTCTAAGGACCCCAGTAAGGTACTTCCTAGAATTCGCAAACTCCCCTGTAGGTTGAGGGCGTTCTAGGCTTCAGGAGCAGGACTCCTATAGGCCCCTTAGTCGTTTCGGTGGTTGGGGCCGAGCTTTGCACGCAGATGTGTTTTGACCAAGAAAATTCCTTGACTCGCATGGCATGATGGAGACCATGGCATTCTACCTCGTATTAATGCATTTTGTGTACAGAACGCGGCATATAGGCCATGAGGGCTTGGACTATACAGACAAAGTCGTGGCCACATGAGTGTCGCGCGAGAAAGTGAGGGTCCGCTCAGGCAGAAAAATCTCTGCTGGCAGATGACCGTGCTGGCTCTGATAGGCCTTCCCGGGTACTACATGCCGCCTGCCTGCATTCTCCTACTTTGGAGCCGCGAAAGTGGAGTCCAATGCATCCCAAATCGGGTTTGACAAGTATGCCGAACCTGATGATGTTCTGGAAACACATCCGAACCCTAAACCCTAAACCGCCTGCCTGGCAGTGTGATACGATGAGTGGATGACTGGACACCATACACTCTGCTGTTCTCGTTGAACATCATGTGCCTCGTGAGAGCCATGCTGCGACGTTCCTATGAGGGGTGGGCTGCAAGTAAGCAGAGTGTTTCTTCGTTTTGCCGGGGTTTTCATACTTGATACCCGGATGCAAGAACGGAAAATGCGCTCTGCTCTGCTGTTTGTCTTTTCTGTTGAGCATGTACCTGGTAAGAATCCCTGCAGAGTGGTTCGTCCAGCTATGCGGGTGCCACAAAAAAACCGCCTGTGGTGTGGTTTGCTTGGCGGGTGGCAATAAAACAATCCGCCTGCAAGCCCTAACCCCCAAACCCTGAACCCTTAAACCCTAAACCCTATGTGATGCATCAGCTAGGCGGGTGGCAACAACAAAAAACATATACATATATATATATATATATATATATATATATATATATATAGAAATAAATATATAAAGTTTAAATAAATGTATATACATATATATATATATATAAACCCTAAACCAGATATCCTACACCGCCTCCAGAGTTGAGGTCGGTCTGGCTCATGGACCGATGGGGCCGCAAGAACATTCAGCTGCAAGGCTTCGCCTTCATGGCCTTGCCCCTGGGACCCGACAGCTACAGGGCTTAGGGTTTAGGGTTTAGGGTTTAGGGTTTAGGGTATTTGGGGCTTTGGGTTTTGGGATGTAGGGTTTGCCCAAGATCCCTTCATCAAGGAGTATAGCTTAGTTCATATTAAGGATCCCTACATAACGGCCAGGTCTAGCCCTTCATTAAGGGGTCTTGGTCTCTCCGGGTTGATGCCTTCGTAGGTCTGCTTAGGATGGTTTGGGGTTTGGGGTTTAGGGTTGAGGGTTTCCCGAGGCAATATCAAGGGTTCAGGGAGGAGGCTAAGCAGAACGCGGGGCAGGGGGCAGCCCGCAGCCCCATGCTTCTTAACACTTGCTCGTTCTTGGTAGTGAGTTGGGGGAATGAGGTACCCTCTCGGATGCCATCCCTTCAAGGGTTTATATGGTTGCCCCCCCCCCTCCCCCCGTTTAGGGTTTAGGGCTTTTTTGCATCCGGGCGCAAGGGTTCAATTTTGAGGGTGTAGGGGAGAGACGGTACACCATTGGGATACCATTGGGGCGGGGGGGGGGGGGGGGAATAAACGCACGACGCACGACCAGAAATAGGGGGCAAAGGGTACCCTCATTGCTACTCAGAACCAGGGAGAAGAGGCCCTAAACCTTAAACCCTAGACCCGAGGCTTAACTCAGAGAGGGGTCTACTTCCCAACTTTGCCCAGCATCTTGTGCAACATGAAGTTGTGGGTTCATGCCCAGGCCCACGAGATCCATGGCATGCCTATGAACCCTACCCCGTGAGGGTTTCCGATTTTTCTGGTCTCACGGGGCCAGTCGGAGTCGAGAAGAGCCCGGGTCCTGAATTTCGGGTTTTTGTAGGGTTTGCATCCTAGCAGCAAGGAGTCCAGTTGCAAACAGGTTTAGGGTTCATTCCCCACTCATTCCGTTTCCTGGCCGTCCTGTTCTTGCCTTCTGTCGCTAAACAAGATTGTCCAGTCTGGCCTTTTTTTTGTGGTGGGGGGGGGGGGGTTCTCCTCCGAGAAGTACCCGGAGCGTTGACCAGGTTATACGGAAGCCTGGCAATCTGGATGGAAGAAATGGAAGACTCTTGGCTCGATCTTCCAGGCCACCGTAACTGGGTCTCTGGGTTAATATCATAGCTACTTATACCTCAAAAGTCCATGCTTTTTTCCAGGGTCTACTCCAAAGTAGGAGTAAGGTCAACCGCCCCTTGTTCAAAGGAGGCAAAGCTGGGCGTTGCTGTGCTGACCATCCAAGGAGTATCCTGTAACACTGTTGTTCGTGTACGGGCTCACGCCCCTCTGCCTGCAATCGGAACAGGTTCCATGGGGTTTTGGAGGTAAGCAGTCTTGGGCCCCGAAGCCATCCCGCAGGATGCAAAGCTTCCCCCAACCCCCCCTACCACGACTCCTTGAGACGAAGGTACTTCTTCAGCAACTTCGGCCCCAACAGCACGACCTTCATCTTGCCTTCGGAGTCCTTCCCCACTGAGGTGGCTTGGTGGCTGTAGGGTTCGCGGCCTTCGGCTTACGGTGGTATCAGCTCAGAGTAGCCCTCTGCCCCCTCGCAGCTGATTGGTATCTAAATTCCCCCCCAAAAAAATAAACATCCGACAGGCCTGAACCCCCCCCCCAGAGGTTGTGCCTTGGACCCCCTAGTGTGGCACTCTTGGGTTTGGGACCTCCTGAGCCAGGTCGGGGGTCTCCCTAAACCCTAAACCCTAGAACCCTAGAACCCTAAAACCCTAGAACCCTACAACCCTGAACCCTAAACCCTAGGCTTAGAGCTCCCTGGAGTGATCCCAAAGTCGAGGTGAGATCCACTCTCAATGGCTTTTGTGCCGCCAGTGGCAAACTGGGCGCTGTCGTCGGATCCTCCATGTTCAAGCCGATCATTGGGGCTCTTTGGCAACGGTACCTTCCACTATAAGAATCGGAAGAATTGCTAATAGTATTCCCTTATGCTCGCTGTATAATTATACTAATACCTCGCCCCCCCCTCCCAAAAAAAAAGCCTATTCTAATTATTCAGGCCCCTATAGTAGATGTCCCAGGTGGCCTTGCTTCCCCCATTTGTAGGTGCCTCAACAACTGGGGATCCGAACCCTTGCGTTTCTGTGGTCCAAGTGTTTGAGTTTTTTTGGGTTCTTCGATCCCAAGTGGCTTTCACTGCAGGCTTCGGGTCGAGAGTTGAGGGTTTACTTGGAGGTTCCAGGCACCTGTTACCCCAATACTAACTGTACTTATATCCCAGTTATGACCAGATTGGTACACTTTAGGGGCTTTTAAGTTGGTTATAAGTCTGTTTAGGGCACTCCCGAGATTGCAGACTGGACACAAATCCCCTGTACCTTCATCTCGATATCTACTGAAAGCCCTAAACCCTAAACCCTAAACCCTAAACCCCAAACCCCAAACCCCAAACCCTAAACCCGAAACCTAAGAGCCCCCGGGAGCTTAACGCTGAGGCATAGACCAAAGACTTCTCAAGGTATATGGGTGTTGCTCCAGAATTCAGCGCTCGTCTGCTTTAAGGAGCGATACCCCAAAGCCCTCGATGGGGTTTAGGGCCAGGGTTTAGGGTTCAGGGTTTGGGGTTTGGGGTTTAGGGTTTAGGGCTTCTCTAAGGGTAGTTTCATGGGCCCATAATATGGTACCCAACCTCCTGTAAAGGGTTGTGATGTATGGGCCCTTAATTTGTATAAGGTGTATAAAGGGCATATAAGGGAAAAACAACTTAGAGTTTCAGGCCCAAGCGCCACTCCTCAGGCTATGGGTACGTCTTTTGTGTTCTTGTGCTGCGCGGCCTGTGCTGCGATTGGCATCGTCATTACCGTGCCGTGGTGGCGAACGACATTTAGAGTTCCCCAAGAGCCCAATACCCCTAATAAGGAACATGCCATAAATCATATAGGGATCCTTAATATGACGTAAGGTATATATTCCTTCATTAAGGGGTATTGGGCTCTCTGGGTTTGGAGTTTCTGTTGAGCGTCCTTTGGCGCATGCTTGCCTCACAAGTCAGTCCATGCTCGTTAAAACAAGCCTGCCAGGAGCAGCATTGCCTGCTGCCATAGGCCCTATTTAGGCGCAGCATTCTAAACTTTTGAGTTTGGTTCCACAACTGGAGGCACGACACAGATGGCAGTCCAAAGAAAGTGTCCCATCTCACCCCCTGCATTCCAAAGGTCTTTTGCGTGGACGACAGGCTGGGTTCTGTGGGTTTCTTGCGCAACAGAAAACTGCGTCCTACCTCACAAGCCTTAGTTATGAAGCAAAGGTTCACCATGGTGCTCAAATTGCGTTGGAGATCTCGTAAAGCCTCCCGACGCTATCAGCTGCAGGCGGGGTCACGACGTGATGGGCGACGGCGACGTTGCCCTCACAGACGCGCGCCACTGGCAACCGCAGATGTCATGGGTTACGTACTGTAACACTGTAAAAGTTGGTCAGAGACGTACAGTCACGAGCACCCAAAGGCCCTAAGGGGGCTAAGCCAAATCTGACCCCTAAAGTGCTCCACTGCGAGACATGGCGTCTTCTTAGGGCCCGACTGTGGGTTCTACCCAGAGAGCCCAGAACCCTTAATTCAGGAATATACCTTAAATCATACATAGGGATTCCTAGTATGGCTTATGGCATCTTCCGTGTTTAAAGGGTATTGGGCTCTTTGGGTACCCATAGCACAAGTCGTTGGGGATTTACGATTCTCGAGACCCAAATTTTGACCCCCTAAACCCTAAACCCTAAACCCTAAACCGTTGAGTTTACCACAAGGACCGGCGAGCTCCTCTTTAGGTGGCTTTGCAAGTTCCCTTAGCTACTGCTGATATGCAGCCCCCCTAGGGTTGGCGAGCTCCTCTTTAGGTGGCTTTGCAAGTTCCCTTAGCTACTGCTGATATGCAGCCCCCCTAGGGTTTAGGGTTTAGGGCTTAGGGCTTAGGGTGAACACCCTCCCAGATCCATGCGGCCATCAGCAAGTCCCACTAAGGCATGGACCCCGGCATCGAGGCCTCTTCATTGCGCGTGCGGCGCAAGTCTACGTCATTGAAGCAGGGTTTATACTTCTGTTTTTGGTGAGTGTATACAAGGTTCTTTTTTTAATATTGGTGAGTGTATATACCTGGTGTCCTTTTGAGGGTACAAGAAATATATACCCTACATGGCCTCCTCTCGTTGGTTGGGCAGGATCCGCTTCTTTCGGAAGGGAGGGTTCCCTAAACCCTAACCCCTAAAACCGAAAGGGTTCAGGGTTCAGGGTTCAGGGTTCAGGGTTTAGTTTAGGGTTTAGGGTTTAGGCTTAGGGTTTAGGGTTTCGGGATGTGCAAACGGGATGAAGGATTCGAACTTCAGTTTGCATGCCTTGTGCTGGCACTCGTCCTTTGCCTTGTAAGGGTTTAGGGTTTCGGGTTTAGGGCCCGATCGAGAGTCTCCTGCCCAGGCGTGTGCAAGGCAATAAGCCGCACGCTCTGAGCGGCCAGAGAAGACTTAGGAGATTTGACTGGGGTTTGGGAATAGGGTTCAGGGTTCAGGGTTCAGGGTTTAGGGTTTAGAATTTAGGGTTTAGGGTTTAGGGTGCTCTTTAAGGCCAAAGGTGTCTTTGACACGGGTTGGAGCCTAGTTCACTCATAGAGTGATCAGCAGCTCAACCTTGTTTCCGGCCTGCCTGGTGCCGCTGCATCGTAGCCCTTGAGCCTCAAAGACTCAAAGATCCCCCAATACCCCCCTAAACCCTAAACCCTGAACCCTAAACCCTAAACCCTAAACTTAGTATGATGTTCGCCTTACTTAGGGGTATTGGGTCTGGGGGTATCCTCACCCCGTCCTAAGCCAAGCATGTAGGGCCCATGCCGGAAACTGCAGTTGACTCAAAGAGCTCCTTCCCATCGTGCCTGTTTCACCCAAGGAGGTGCTCTATGAAAAGCGACCGGAAAACACACACCAAACCCTAAACCCCACTGAGTAGCCAGACATGGGCAGAAGCTGTTGGAGTCGAGCTACGGCAGCGGCCGCCCCTCTGATTGCCCTTGCGCTAGGTGAAGGAGGGCCGGACCGTGCCCGCACGATCTCGCATGCCTTTCTTCAGCAACCCTAAACCCTAAACCCTAATCTCCTGCAGTTTGCGTTGGCCAGAAACTGCACAAGTATCTTCCTCAGCCCGCTGCCGTGAACCAAGCGGTGCTCCTTGCACTCCTCAACCTGGAGGGTCTGCCTACACCCCCCAAGTACCCCGTCACTACGAATTGCTTAAGAGCCCCAAAAAGAAGAAAAAGCAACAATCCCTGTAATGTTGACCCTTATAAGGAAGAATATATGTTACTTTTTGGGGGTTCTTAAGCAATTAGTAGGTAAGATGCCCTAGAAACACCATTCGAGGTGCTCTGTGTAAGGCCTTCCCTGCGGCTTCTTCGGGTGCAGGTGAATCATGGGCTCCCCTACTACCCGCCTCTATACTACCCCCTCTAGCTTCCCCCCTTATAAATAGCCTGAATTCGGCTTAACCCGGCTTAACTATTCCCAAATAGCATTAATTCTGGGGGAACTTAGGGGTTTAGGGTTTAGGGTTTAGGGTTTAGGGTTTAGGGTTTAGGGTTTACGGTTTAGTAAAAAAGGGGAACCCATGAGTGAACAGGTGGCATGGGCATGATCTTGCTGTTGTTCAGTGCTGGCTCAACCCTAAACCCTAAACCCTAAACCCTAAACCCTAAACCCTAAACCCTAAACCCTAAACCCTAAACCCTAAACCCTAAACCCTAAACCCTATACACTAAACCCTAAACCCCCCTAAACTAAACCCTAAACCCTAACCCTAAACCCTAAACCCTAAACCCTAAACCCTAAACCTAAACCCTAAACCCTAACCCTAAACCCCCTAAAACCCTAAACCTAAACCCTAAACCCTAAACCCTAAACCCTAAACCCTAAACCCTAAACCCTAAACCCTAAACCCTAAACCCTAAACCCTAAACCCTAAACCCTAAACCCTAAACCCTAAACCTTACCGTCCGTTGGCCCGTTCTGGCTCCGAGTTTTTTCAGGTCATAGCTTCACAGTTGCTTGCATCATCTCAGAGCGACTCCGGTGTCCTTCAGAACTTTCTTTGGGGCGCATGTGGTTGTGAACCTTTGGTCTTGTGCAATGCTCGTGTGCATGATTACTTCTAAGCTCATATACTTTTAGGGTTCTTAAGGGGACGGGGTTCATAGGGGGCAGGTAGCTAGGGAACCTTAGGGAAGCTTAGGGAGTAGTAGGGAGCATTAGGGAACGTTGGGTTACATACCCTACAGACCCCCCTTGAACCCCCCTCCCTCTCGAACCCCATAGTCTACTCTGTTTCCCAAAAGGCGCCTGGAACCAAGGTGAAACCTGGTGCACCGAACAAATGGTGCTCATCAGGCCATCCATGTGGCTGCTTGGCTCGCCAGCTTGCCACTGAGTGGACATAGGACATGGCCAGTTCACCCAACGTTGTGCTTCAAAGAGGTAAGCAGGCCATCTTGGGAGCGTTGAGGGTTTAGGGTTTAGGGTTGGATGGTCCCCTTATAACTACTAACAGTCCTTCGTAGGGATTAGCATAGGGGGACATCCCACATGCCATCAATCGTCTGTGAGAGCAGGGACCTAGATCCTGTCGGACGCTATGGTTTTTTTTTTAAATTTTGGTGGGTGGGAATCCTGCAACTGGTTGCTCCTACTTTCGCTTGCAACCAAAACTGCAAGACCTGCCCACGAAACTTGTTCACACAGGTTGGGTACCATGTGTGAGCTCAAGTAAGATCACCCAATTTACAAGCATGTTCATCCAGGCTTTATTGGTTCTTGGGATATATCGGACCTAAACCCTAAGCCCTGAACCCTTAACCCTTAACCCTTAGCCCTAAATCCTAAACCCTAAACGTTCTGCCGGGGCTCCGTTTTCCTCTCTGAGGTTAGCGGTGCTGCAGACTCTGTGGATCGTCTCAGCAGTCATCAGCACGGAGCCGCCTTGCAAAACCACCTCAGTCCATATGGGGGGTTTACGAAAAAAAGGACCCTAATATGGACCCCAAGTAGTAGGATTCCTTTATACTAAGACCCTAATAAGGTACCCCCAGTAATTTCGGAAACCCCCCCCCATTATATGGCGTCTAGTGATTGAAACGGAAGAGTGTGCCCTAAGTAACTGAGCTGGTGTCGGCACCGCCGGCGCAGGAGACGCATCGCAACCAGCGCCAAGAGGCCGTGGTGGATGCTCAGGCCGGGGCGTGCTGGTTTAGGGTTTAGGGTTTAGGGTTAGGACTCTGGAGAGAGAGAAACCTGTGTCAGCGAATGTCAAGACACGACATTTTGAGCCCTGCAAGTAAGTCTGAAGGTGTTCTAGATCGGCAGCCACCAAACCATGCAGCACACATTTGGACTTTGTTTGGCAAACAGCCGTCATGGGTTCAGCCCTGCTCACAGCTAAGAAGTAGCCCTATGCCACGTGTGCGCAGTCAACCTTTGTCATCCTTCTCGTGCGACTGATGCCCTAACCCCTAAACCCTATGAGCCCTGAACCCGAAGCGTGCGCCAGGCAGCCGTAGATCTGGTGAAGCCGGCGACCCACCACCAGAAGAAGGCAAAGCATGCAGAAGCCAAGATCACCGATGTCAAGGCCAAGGCCATTGAGGCCCATGAGGGCGCCACCCAGAAGAGGAAGCTCAGTAGTAGAGTGGATAACATGTTTAATTTTCTTGGGAGTAGTACAATCCCTATAAAGGTTAACCGTGAGTGGCCCTAGGTTTCTGAAACAACTAAGGAAGGGCCCAGTGAAGAAGAAGGCCGCAAAGCCCGCCTCCTTAATGCGAGCGGAACCCGCAACCGACCCGGACTCGAACGCGGAGGAAGCTTAGGGGCTGGGTAGTTAAACTCTAACATTTTTTGTTTAAAGACAATCCGACTGCAAATAAAAGGTTTGCCTTTTTTTGGGCTAGCGTATTCAGCCCCTGAGGAAGACAAGGATGAGGAGGAAGACAAGGAGGAGTCCATTGAGACCCCAGATGAAGAGCAACTTCGAGCTGAATCTGTCCACTTTTGGACGCTTTTTTTTTGGGATACCATAGAATCCCCTGATAGAACTGAAAGTCTGCACCTAAGCCCCTAAACCCTAAACCCTAAACCACAAACCCTAAACCCAAAACCCTAAACCCTAAACCCTAGCAACTGAGGAAGGAGGCCCCGCAGGAGGCATCGGAGGAGGAGTCCAAGGAAGGCAGCAAGGAGTCCTCGGAGGAGGCCGAGTCGTCTGCAGCAGACGCTTGCTTACGCAAGCAGAAGGTTGGATCGTTGCACTGTTAGGGTTTAGAGGGTTAAGGTTTAGGGTTTTGGGTTCTGGGTACTTCAGAGCCCAGGTTCAAAAAGGGTTTAGGGTTTAGGGATAGGGTTTCGGGTTTGGGGTTTAGGGTTTCGGGTTTGGGGTTTGGGGTTTTGGGTTTGGGAGTTATACAATATTCAGCTGGCCCGCTCCCCCCCCCCCCTTAGCAGCCTTAGGCAGCAACGAATAAATACGAAGAAGTTCCAGAGAGCCAAAAATCCCCGTGGTCAGGGAATATACCTTAAAAAATATGGGGAAGCTGAATGTGTTTTGATGTCTAACCTTTATTTTTACAGGGCTGTTGGGCTCTTTGGGTGCTTGCCGAAAGAGGAGAAAGCGCAATCCACCGGCCTCGACGATTCAGACGACGCAGACGGACAACAGAGATCTGAGGACACGAAGTCCGAGGATTCCGCTTCTACGGAGAGTGAGGACATGCTGGGCCCATTGGGACCATTGATAAATACTATAGCCCCCTGGAGAATTATGTGTATCTTTAGTCATGTAGAAGGCAAGAATAGTAAAAACCTTATTTTTATTCAGGTTCTAAGGGTAGTATAGAATATGGGGCGACAAATTTTCTTTCCATTGTAAGAAGCAGAGTAGTAGGAAACATGTTTTCTCAAATCTAGTAGTGATTTCACACGCTTCCTCAAGCCTGGCACTGTTGACACAGAGAGAGCCCAATACCCTTTCATTAAGGAATGGACCTTAAACTATTTCAGGGAGCCTTAACATGATTTAGGGTAGATTCCTTGCTTCAGGGAGTATTGGGCTCTTCGGGTATGTGTTTCGAAAGTGATGAGCCGCTTTGAGCCGGCCTACTTACTGGTCTGACTCTTTTGTACAGCCGCACAGCCCGCAACAGAACCCAACCGTTTAGGGTTTAGGGTTAGGGTTTAGGGGGCAACACTAAGCCCCAAACCCTCAATACCAAACCCCCCCAACATCCAGGTTCCCGCAAGCCTCAGATTCCTTGTGAGCATGAGGACCCTGGCGATGGTACAGACACAGAGGCGCTCAAGATCTCGGAGGGGGGCGGCCGTCTCCAGAGTGCATTGGAGATTCAGGGTTTAGGGGTTTTTCGCCGTTAATTCCTCGCTTGCTGCTTGTGAGCAGGGGTGTGG